TTATTAGGCTAAAGCATTAGATGCTTGCTGAAATGTGGCCCCTTTGAAAAGATTAGCCCACTCCTCCCACATTGGCCGAAAATCCTCCAGCAGCAGTAGTTGACTGAGTCAATGGAAGCCCATAAATCAAACCCTTCTGTAATTGACATAGGCAAGCCACCCTTTATGGAGAGGGAGAGATACCTCGGTCATTGCTGCCGTCAGAAAGGGAGGGGGAACTACTCGTCGTCGATGCGACTGGGCCCTCGAACCTGTCCTCGATCTTGTTGTCGGCTCGGCGAGCAAGCCAGACAGATCCCGACGACGAAGCAACCGAGAGTGTAGTGAGCGGTGTTCTAATGGAGATGGCGGAGCTCGTACCTGTTTTGTTCGCCGTGCGTCGACCTCAACTCTGCTGCTGGCCATTGCTTTTGTCCAGACATTGTCGGAGAACCGTACGTACGTAGGTGCTCCAGGCTGCATGTTTGCAGTGACCTTCGCGGCTATGACGGCTATAACCCTTAGCGATGGCGGTGTTGGACCAAAAGCAACGACGACGAGAGCTGCAATGGCACGACGAACTTCAGCGGGTGCAACCAGCTTTGGCGGATATGGCGTACGGCGGCTCCAACTCAGATCTGGTGCAGCAGCGACAAGCACTGGCGTTCGGCGATCTCCTTGGCGGCAACATCCTCTACCCTAGATCTGGATTTTCCAGATTGATTTTTTGACTTTTCCAAGACTGTTTTTGACTGAATTCTTAGTAATTGGATGATTTTTTTGATGTTTTTGCAGAGGAATCTCACTTGATTTGCTCAAAGCTCTCAATGAAAGCACCATTGATGGATTATAGGGTATCCAATCTTATATAATTGGGAGAGATTTGAGCTATAGAGAGGAAGAAGATGAATGAATAGTGGTATTGTTTGTGTGATAATGATCCTAGGGCTACAAGTCTCCCAAAGGGAGTATAAATAGTCAAATAATGGGCCGGGCCGCTAATGTGGGCCCGATAGGCCCAATTACATAAAAGGCTAATATAGTACATACAAATGATATATGAACTCTACAATAATACAAATGATATAAATGACGTCCGATAAGCATGTGTGGGCCGCTGTCCGGGCCCAATAGTCGTGAGACTCGGGGATCCGAGTCTATATACTCCATCAACATACAACAACAACATCCAAGCCTTAGTCCCAAAAGATATTGGGGTCGGCTAACATGAATCGATACATGATATCACCACCAAAAAGAAAAGAAAGAAAAGAAAGAAAAAAAAGATAAGCTCGGTAACAATTATACCTGCAGTGATAAAGTGACTTCGATCAAAGTGACTTCGATCACGCTGACCCCGGTCACAGTGACTCCAGCACAGTGATTCCGGCCACAGTGATTCCGGCTATAGTGACTCTGGCCACAGTGATTGCCCGCCCACCGGTCACATTGACTCCGGCCACAGTGACTGTCCGCACCACCGGCCACAGTGAGTGCCCGCACCACCGGCCACAGTGACTGCCCGCACAACTCCAATATCGTCGTCCACACCGGAAACCACCATCGGCCTACTGCTAATTCCGACCCCTCTCCTACTCCAACCCCAACCCAAACGCCCTCTCCCATCTACCCCAACCCCTAATCCTATTATGACTATTGTCCCCTCCTACACCCGACCACCGTTGTCACCCCTGTCCTTCACCACCCCTGCCCAGCCCTCTCCCCCAACTCCCCAGCCCCCATCCCTTACACAATCGATGCCCACCCCTCACCCCGCCCCCGCCCCCTACAATCGTTGCATCCCACCATGATTCCCGCCCCAAATTCCAGATCTGACCATCGACGAACCACACTTGCACCTAGCCCATCCCAACCCACTCCCCTGCTCCGAAAAGAGCCGTCGTGACCCCCTCTATTTCCCCTGTAAGCCCTAGTCGCTTCAGATCTGGCAGCTGAATAAAGTTGCACCTCCATCGCCGATCTGAATTGAGCGACTAAGGAAATCTGACGACTAATTGAAGAGGGGAAGAAGAGCGGTGATGAAGAGGAGAAGAACAACGGTCATAAAGAGGAGAAGAAGAGAAACAAAGACGGATGAAGCAGAAGGTAGATTATGGATTGTGCGAGTTTCGATTTTGCGAAGGAGAACTGCTCGATGTGGCAAAAGGGGTTTGGGAGAAAAGCTCGATGCGGGAAGGGACGGGTCACATTTTTGGAAAAGGTAAAAGTTGTTATATTTTTGGAAATGAAAAGACCGGTAGTAATACATCTGCCATTATTTCTTAACTTTAAGTGTAAGAATATGTATTATACTCGGTTGGAAAATTAGTTAAAAACTAAAAGTTAAACGCAATGGATCATAAATATGTATAGGTATAGTGGGTTGCATATTACATACATGCTCCATTTACAAAAATAAGTAAATTATATCTAGTATATGCTTCGTAATTTCTAAATGAACCGGGCCAAACATATCGGTCCTAATGGGCCTACACCCTATCTCAATCCGTCCCATATATAATTATAGGTTGGGTTTGGGTCAAGTCGGTGGCAGGTCGGGTGAGCCAAACGGGCCAACCCCTTTTTGTAGGTCTAATATCAATAATTTGAAATGTGATATCATCTAAGATGTTTTTACATGAATTGAATTTTTTTTGAGCTAGCAAATATGGTTTATTTAAGTTTGGTATAGTCTCATCTTAATTGATCTGGCCAGGTCAAATAGATGTTTAGTTTATGTGTATTTTATAAATATCGAAGTACGATCTGATCTAGTCTGATCTGGTGATGGATTTAAGTTTAGTCTGATGGTTTGGACTTGTCAGATCCTGGACTAAAATTAAAAAAAAAAATACACAAATATTACTAGTTTAAGTCTCTCTAACAAATACTCCCTCCGTCTCGTATTAAGTTCACACTTTCCTTTTATGGATGCTCCAAACAAGTTCACACTTCCTTATTTGGCAAACAAATCTACACCAAAACAGTGCTAAAACAGTGCCAAAACAGTGCCAAAATAGTGCCAAAACAGTGTCAAACAGTGTCAAACACTGTCACAACAGTGTCAAACACTGTCACAACAGTGTACTCTACAGTAAAGTTTTCCCCTCAGTAAATTTATTTTCTTAATATGTATGAAGTCAAACTAGGAACTTAAAATAACAAGGCGATTTCCTTGCAATTAGGATGTTTTTACTTGGATTGTAATTTGTTGATCTGGTCTGGTCTGATTTATTTAAGTTTGGCCTGGTCTGGTTTGTTTAAGTATGGTCTGGTCTGGTCTGGTCTGAACTGATCTGGTTTGGTAAAAGTCTGGTTTTTGTGTACTTTATAACTACGGAAGTCAAGTGTGGTTTGATCTGGACTTTTTGAGTCTGATCTGATCTGATATAGTCTGCTCTTGGACTGAAAACAATCCAAGTAAAAACATCCTTACAATCCGGCTGCCTAACTGCCTAAGTGATTGGTAGTTATAATCACTTTTATGTAAACCCAAACATTATTGTAATATTTACGTAAAAAACTCTGAAATTAATCGAAGTAAAAATTGAAGTTTTCAATTATACGTGTGAAACAGATTAGAACAAACACTCGAGAAGAAGATGGCTGAAACTATAATTTCGAAGAAGGATGATAGCAATGGTCTTCTGAATCGGTTTTCTTCTAGGTTTTTTCTCCTTGTCGATCTTCCTCTGCTCTGTTTTTCCCTTTTAATAAAAAGACGTAAGTGATGGAGGCGAGTGCTGCGGTCTCTCCCTAGCAGGTCTAGGGTTTGGTTTTTCCTTAGCAGATCTAAGGTTTGGTTCTTCCGGCCGGTGAATCTCCTTCACTTGTGTCCGACGCTAGGATTGAATTTGAGGCAGATTGACAAGAAACCTTACCCAAGTTTGACGACATCGAAGCCAAAGTTCGGCGATTGATTTCTTCGTGAGCAGGGTAGCAAGGGCGTGACAACGATGAAAATGACCGCTAGCGGTGGATTTGCTACGAGCGCGGAACGAGGAGAGGTGCACATATTTCGAGCAGGCTAGATGACGATTGACAATGGATGATCAATTAGAGTGATACGAAGGATACGACCTCCTGGACCATCACCATGGGTTGTACGAGGTGCTAGAGTCCGTGGAAGTTTTCCTATTAGTTATTTTTATTTTATCATTTGGCTTCTTATTATCGTCTATGTTGTTAGGTTTGTCATTTTGTTTGGGAATTTGAGTCTTTTTTTGTCATTTAGTATGTTTGGATATATGGGAACATAGATGACTGTGTCAAGCCCGCTACATGGTTAGCGATTCACGTTACTCTTTCTGTGGTGACCGTCTCTAAGTCTGATCATAGGGTTTACCGTCGTAGTTGTTGGATTTTAGTTGGTGTCATTTTCGTTTTTCCTTTAATTGATGTAATAATCGTGAAACTTATGATATGAAAGAACTCAAAGAAGGTTAGTTCGCAATAAAAAATGGGAAAATTCCCGAAATAGGACTAAAACTGTTTCAAAATTCCAAAATAAGACTGCCATGTTTTTTATTTCCAAAATAGGATAAATTACTGTCATGTTTAAAAAATACTGCCATGTTTGAAGTCTGATACTGCCAAAACAGGGAAGTAATTAGTCCTATTTTGGGAATAAAAACATGGCAGTCCTATTTTGAAATTTTCAAAGTGTTTTAGTCTTATTTCGGATAATATCTCATAAAAAATATGCATGTGAAACCTTTTAATTTGCCTGAAATTCTCAATTATTAATTGATTATTTGACAGCTCATTTCATAAAAGGATGACACCCCGTCCCTGAGGGCCCCCAACCTCGATCGGACGGTACGTTGGGAGGATGTAAATTGGACTATAATCTCAATCTAACAGATAGAGACTGTGGCTCTGTCCCGGGTACTTTTAGAGACCATTATTAGCATAGTAACCCTTCATCGCAGTTGACGGGATTCGAATCCGGAACTAACTCTTGTGAGCTATGGCCACTAGTTTATTAATCGTATAAAACCGGTTTATTAACCCGGGACCTTGACAGCTCATTTCATGTTTTGTGGAACATTCACAGCTTATAGAACTTGTCTTTTATAGTGAGTGACTCTTGGTCGGTCGACAGACCGTCAGCAGAAGGTGATGAAGAAACAATCCCGGCAGGCGCTACTGCTCTGGTGCAGATAAGGGCAAATAGACAAGGAGGCGGTGAATGACGGAAAATTCATACACTCTTCTCGCGGCTACCTTGGCCGGATGCGGCGGCTGGGGCGGCGGAAGCAGAGACAATGCCATGAACGCTTCCGTTATGAACTCGTTCCGTTTCTCCACGGTCTTCGACATGTTAGCTCTCCATGTCCGCGCTCAACCGGAGAGTAGCATCTCAGAGTTCTTCGAATTATGCATCTCCCTTGCCAGGTGCATTTCTTTACTCGATCAAACCCCATTTCCTTTTCCTGTTACATTCGTGTAGAGTTATAAAGTTCTTTTTTTTATACATCGTAAAGGAGAGATATAAAGTGCTGTTTATCACTTTATCAACACCGACCCTTTTTTTGTCAAACAAACCAGCACTTCTTATAAGTTATAATACCTCTATTAAGTTGTTGTGAAGCTTAAATATAGTAGTTACTGGATAATATAGCGAGATCAAAGTTGGTTTCTAGATTTAGCGGGTTACAAATATTGGACCGCTGGAAGAGTTGGTCTTTATATTTGCAAGATTGTTCCTGATTTTATTGAGAAAGTTTTCCCTTTTTATACCAAGATTTCACTTGGAACCATATTCATTCCAACTGCAGATCAGAAGTCAGTTTTTAATTTTATACCTTTTGTGGATTGTTTAGCCAACGTAATAGTAGTAATTTTTCATTTTGGTATAGCTTTATAAGTTATAAGGTTCCCTCCTGGCCTTTGGAGGCTGTTTTGTCACACTTGTACAACAAGAAGCGCACACCTTTTAAAAGTTAATTGTGCTGCTCTATATCATACCTGTTTGGGTATCTGTCAAGACTTAAGAATCAGGTTGCCACACCACAAGAATGATTTAGAAATGGATGCAAATCTGCAAGTTCATCTATTATTTAATTGTCAAAGGAGAAAACTTGAGGGCTAAAATTGGACTGAATATTTTTCTTTCACGTTCCTTTTTTACTGTGATGTATAGAGAGTACTAGTGGCTGATATCATGTAGCCAGGCTCATCATTTATCTGCGCACCACCATTAGGAAACCAGCATTGCAGTCATAGTTCACTTTATTTTTAATACGGAGTATGTTATCTTTAGCACGCATATATACTTGCTGACTCTATAGACTGTAATTTGGTTACGCCAATCTTTAGCTGTGTATAAACTACATTATATCCATATCAGATATTTTTGTTTGGACTTGAGTACTCTCTTCTACAGTCAAAGAGAGTTTTATGGTTAGATATAGTTTATTCATTGTCTCCAACATTATAGTAAGCATTGCTGATTGGATGGTCTGCCATTTGCAGACACATTGATTTTGCCATTGCAAGTAAGAAAGTCCCAACTAAAGCGCCAGAGTTGCCTTCACTTTTTAAACAGGTACATTTGTAATGTAGGATGGAAATCAAAATTGTTCTTGCTGTATGTTTCTACATACTAGCGTTGTCATTCTAAAATGAAAAGAAAAAAAGATTAGACCAAAGCTCTGTTTGAATTCTGGAGTTTCCATGCAAAATATTTTGTAGAAAATCTATCCCTCAAAAATATTTTCCTAGAAAATTAAATGTTCTGTGCATGCGCAAAATGTAATGTTTAACTGGTATATATAAGCAAAATAAATCTGATTCGCGAAAATTATTTTCTCTTTTATAATAAGAGTCATTCCCAATGTATATGTAAAAATAAAGCCATTTTCCCCATGCATATCAAGAATCACAGATTTTATTGCCTGGTGAGCATTGGTAAAAAGAAAGTCATTTTCCCCATGTATATATGAATATATCCTTAGTCATTTTCCCCGCAAACAGTGACCTAGAGAGCAATGGTTAAATAAAAGGTCCTACATTATCGTAGTTTGGTTGAATAAACTTATATATTTAGTTAAGCTAATCTCATAAATCATGATAAAGTATAACAAAGTGTAGTCTAATAAAAAATCTGCTCGTTTCTTCAATATATAAAGTCAATTAAGGTCATAAGGAAATTAATAACCTATTCCCGTTAAGTACCAAGTTTACCAAACTAACAACTTAGTTTCTCTGAATTCAATTAGTAATTTACAATATATATAAACAAAGTGAAGTCACATCCTTTGGATTGCCCTTTCTATTAGTACGTGGTACTACCTTGTGCATTTGAAACATTACTAACTAAAATATCTATTTCTGGCTAAACCAATTTACGATTTTAGGTCTGCCAACGAAAATATGACCCTACTATGGAAATTGCTATAATGGTTCTAATGGCTTCTGCAAAGGTAATGTGGAATACCCTTTACAAATTCATTCCTAAATGACATCTTCATAACAGATTCAATAACTGATACTTCTTCTAAGGCCGTCACAACTTTTATCTCATAATAACTGATACTACCTCCGTCCCTTAAAACTTTGCCAAAGTTGACCGGCATGGAGAATAATAAAGTAAAAACTGTGTGGTTGAAGTTTGTGCAGAGGAGAGAGAAATAACAGAAAACACAAAATAATTGATTAAAAGGGAAAGTGACAAAGTTTTTTGGGACGTCTCAAAAAAGAAAGATGGCAAAGTTTTAAGGGACGGAGGGAGTACTTTTTAAAGCTGTAATAACTCATATCTCATAACATAAGTGCATCCATTTTATTGTGATACTTCATCGGGTCAACTTTAAGAAATTATGGTCACCAACTACGCTCATCCCAAGTCTATCAAAACACAATTTATGTGTTAAGTACTTAAGTTTGAACTATAAAACTAGTATGAATGAATTATTTTTGGGGCCCAGTCCTAATTTGAATTTTTGCGGCCCAGGCTGTGATAATGATGGAGAGCATTATTTTCTCCACTCTTATTCTAGAGTTTAGGCATGTTATTGAGGATATTTACACCTTTGACTTGGCAATGACTTGTAGAGTGCTAGTCAGAGTGGGTGGTTTTCTGAAAAAGATTCTCAAGATATATGCCATCTCGCAAATGAGGTCTCTAACTACTCTGATTCATATTGTATTGGTTCCTTTATTTTATTTTTTGCCTTTTTGGGAAGGTTGTGTTTTTGTTCCTCAGTTGTAGTGGAATAACTGATCTGGTCCCCCAGTTACCCGTATCACGAGTTGATGTCTCTCAGTTGCCAAGTGATGATGCCACTGTAGTCCTTTTGTCTATTTTCTGTTTGATCCTAAAAGCAGGGACCAAAAACACAATGTTCACAATTGTAATAATTGGAGGGATTTGGAACACAAAAAGAAAATCAAAGAATAGTTCTCATAATGAAAGAAGATTTGATCACAAGTAGTGTCCTTCAAAACGAAATTGATATAACGATTGATGATTTGATGAGTTAGAAGAAATTCCACATTTGCACAAGTATTTACTTTTTGGTTATAGTGTCAAATTTGCAAAAAATCATCATCCTGCATTTTATGAGAAAAGGTACATTGTCTTTATGCAAATATGGAGTAGATGTTTTGCAATCTAACCTTATGGAAAATTGCATTTAAGTCTTGCAATAGTTACAATTCCAAAAGGTATGCCTATAGTCCTTTTCTGTTAGGATTTAACGGGAAATTAACAAAATGACTATACTCGGAAGTCGCAACATCATCTAACTATGAGGGACATAAATTTGTGACACCTATGACCGAGGGGTCAAATCAGGAATTACACTATAACTCAGGGGCTAAAATGTAATTTTCCTTATATTTATACATGATAATGTTATGTGCATGTCCAGATATCTAGTAACATCTGCAGTACTACAGATTTTAAAAGTGAGGCTAGTGGTTCTCTGTCCATTATCTCAACAATTATGACAAGGTTAACATTTCCATATACTCTCTTTGCATGTAGGCTAATTATTTGATTATGTATCTAAATACATTATATGCATAATATTGTACGGACTACGGAGTAGTATTTAGTCTATGATTTTATTGCTTACTCTGTCCTTCCCAAATTATAAGGTTTGTTAAGATAACGAGGATCGGTCAAGTTATTTACACTGTGCACTATAATTCTCACAATATATAATTATATATGAACTTATTCAATTTATACACTTGAAAACTAAAAGTGCATTCAAAGTTACAGCAAACACATATATTGAGTATTTTTATATATTTACGAAAATTAAAATTTTGTTAGAAAAAGTTCAAGAAAAGTCAGTTTGACCAATTGTAGGAGAAGTACTATCCATCTTATAATTGTGGATATTATATATGTCCAGTCTTTGCTTCAGCCCAACCATGCTCATAACACAAAGTTCATGAATTTGCTTCACTTTCCCTTCATTTATTGCGTATTAGAATGCTCTATATTTTCAATTATTCTTCTATAGTAGTATGAAATGCATGATGTGGAAATTATCTTTGAGAATATGATAGTATTGAATGTGAGGTGGTTGGAACTTTGTATTGGGCAGATTTTTTCCCACAATGAAAATTGGTCACATACTCGCCTTTCTAGAAGTCAAGGTACTCATGTATTCCAATCATGAATTGGGGTCATATTTTTCCTAGTTTTGTGTGTGTTTGGACTGTAGTTTGAGTTGGTTTGGCTCTAATGCAACTTTTACATTGTTTATAGCCAGGATTTGGTGCATTCGTGAATGCCTTTCACATAGCGAGGGATGTGGATTTTTCTCCTGAAGAGAAGATAGTGAGAACCTGCATCCATTTATGCTTGGACTAATATTTTTAATCTTTATAAATGAGTTTGTATCCCTGAAGAGAAGATAGTGAGAACCTGCATCCATTTATGCTTGGACTAATATTTATTCTTTGAGTTGATCAAATAACCTGTACCTATAAGCTTGAGTATCTGGGAGGTATCCCTTTTAGTGCTATTTGCATATTCATTTTTACTAACATTGTATCTTAAGGTTAGATACTGCATCAAGTTATTTGATTTTTTTACATTCATTGAACTTATGTTCCGTTCTTTCTTTTTGTGATTGTTTTGGAATTGTATTCACTCTTCATAGCGATATCTTTACTCTTAGATTGAATTCCTCTTTTGGTCCTTCAGCTATAGGTTGTTTAATTTTTCTTCCTAAACTTTTCTTCTTCCACTTTTAGTTCCAATCTTTAAAAAGCCTTGTGATTTGTGCTCCGCATGTTTAAAGTGCTTTAATTCCCTCACAATGTGAAAATTCTATAAATATGCATCTTACTGTATTTCGGGACATTTTGACTAGAAGTGTAAGTTTGAAAGCTGATGACTAAAAACGGATGAAATCAAAGTTGAAATGTGCAGTAGTCGAAGTACTAAAATTGAAGCTTATTCTAATCTTTCTTTTAATAATAAATTTGGTGCTATTTGGAAATGCTTACAGGCTTGTTTCGTATACAATAGACATAGGCTTGTCTCTGGTAGCTTTCTATGCTTGCCATTCTCATTTTCTATCTTCTATCAAGTCCTCACTTCACAGGGTTAGAAAGACTTACAGCAGTGTGCTGTTGTTTTATGTGCTGTGTTCCCTTGCACAATACATAAATACCAATTCACAAAACTTGAAACATGTTTTCTGATATTTGAAAACAACCCTCTCTGCTTTTTACCTGCAGATGTTACTTGTAGCCCAAGCAGATAATATGGAGACATCATCTTGTCTCATAAGCCCCCCTCAAGTGAAGTATGGATTATGGAATCCTTCCCATATAGTATTTTATCCATCGGTCAGTTATATGACTGCTCCTGATACTTGCATGCTTTGTTTTTCAGCTTTCTCATCAACGGGAGTGAAGTTAAAAGGCGAACAGCAGGATTTATGGTCTTTTCCGTTTTAATATCTAATGATGATCTAATGTCTGTTAAATCTAAAGGCTAAATGGTATTTGATATTTGTGTTTGACTAGGACTCTGGACCTCAAGCTCCAACGCTGATTTCAAATATGCTTGAGTGTGGAGCAAATCTTCTTCAAGCTGTAGGCGAGTTTAATGGTATGACCAGAGAACTATCTACGCTACACTTCTGCTTTGTTATTGTAATGGCTTTATGGACCAGATCATTTGGATGGTAATTTTTTGGTCTGAATTGGTCTGGTTTGGCCTTTTCTGTTTAAGCCTAGTGCCCTAGTCTCATTTAGCATGGTCTGGGAGTGACGTAAGTCCAAGTGTCCTAAAACTTACAATATTGCTCATGATTTTGAAGGAAAATTCATTATCGTTGTTGCATATATTAGCATGATGTCAACTCCAGGTCCTGCCACCCTTCAAAATTATGTGCTGCCTGCTCCTGCTTTGGAAGATCCTGGTAGGCCAAATATTAGTGTACTAAGTTTTGGAGTTTTGATTGCCTATGATCATTCAATTCATTGCTCGTTGAGGATTATTAGTAAAACACATATTTGTGCATTCTTATAGGTTAAAAACAAAGTTAGATAAACCAAATAATATAAACGTGATATAGTAGAACACTGCATATATACATTGTGAATTTGTCTGTCAACTTCACAGCTCTTTACCTTACTACTCCCTTCGTAACTTAAAAACCTTCCCATTTCAAAAGTAGGTAGATTAAGAATAATGAAAGAGGATATAAATTATTGAGGGTACGATGGGAAGATAGTGGAATATTGTGATGGAACGAAGGATAAATCCAAAAAAAGTAGTTGTAATAGTGTATTATTTTCAAAATTATTGAGGGTATGATGGGAAGATTTAGAAATGGGAACATGTTTTCGTTAAGGACGAAAAAAGAAAGTGGGAAGATCTTTTGTTACGGATGGAGTACTACTACTACTGAACTGTAAGACCAGTACTGACAACTGCCATCCTTTTCATACCGTAGAACTGGATATAATTGTTGGACCATCAAGAATATCCCTCAACTGTCCCATAAGGTATGCTGTGTGCCCCCAATGTTTTTTTATAATTCAAATGTGCTGGTAATCTGGTATAGATAAAAATATTTTGGTCGATTTGTACTGAAATTTATCGAACCCTCATGATTTTCATTTGTCATTATCCCCATGGACTATTCAAATGTTGGGTGGTCAAGCACTCAAAATATAGATTTATGATACCAAAAGACCTTTTAGATGCATTAGATACATATGATTTAAGGAAGTTATGTGTTAGCTTTTCTGAATGAGTAATCAGTAATGACGTGCATACGTTTTTTAGTACACCTTGGATGACAGTTCGTGTGAAATTTTACAGTTTTAACTTCACCTCATAGTGAGTGTAAACTGTAAAGTATAGTAAAGTCGCCCTCAAAATGTCATCCTAGGTTGACTGGTACCAAAATGTACTAGAATTTTTAATTCGTTTTATACATTCTTTTTTTTCTTCTGCTCAATAGGGTACATTTCTTTTCTTGATATGCCAACTGGGAACACTTCAGTGTTTTTGCTCATAATTTTTCTCACCTCAAACAGCTTCAAGCGTATTAAGACTCCTATTAAAGGCCACTCATGCAAACATCTTAAGGTGAGAGAGCCCATTGCAGTGAGTTAATTAGATTAATCATGTCCATTAAGCACTAATCTATTAGACTTTCAAAATTATGATCTGGACCAATAGGCATTTACCCATTGAATGTTATACATCCTATGCTATATACTACGTACAATCTATTGATAACTTTAGGATTTGAATTATTCTTTGAAGTCTTTTATTTAAATGTCAAAGTTCTGTCAGAAAAACCTTCAGAACTAAGCGACTCTAAATCCAACATATGTAGTTCCTCATCATTTTCATTTCTATGATTAGACTTAACTGAACAAATGTTATTTCCAGTGCTTTGATTATGACAACTATGTGAGCATAAATTCTAAAAGACCATCCTGGCGTTGCCCTCATTGCAATCAGCATGTATGCTTCACTGACATCCGTTTCGATCAATCTTTTTTCAAGGCAAGTTAATATCTTGATACACACATATACATACGTACATGCATATACTGGAGTGCGGAAAAATTTCCTCTTTTGGTCGCATGACCTACTAGGCCATTCTCATTAACAATCCATAACTTTCATTTTTCCTCTTTTTGGTGCATGAGTATGTTTTTCTGTCACTTTGTCTCCGGAAAAAATCAACCGAAAGTTGTATGGAAATTAACCGGATAAATGGTCCAAAGTAAAGGGGCCAAAAGTGGAATATTTGGTGTTTATGTACGCTTGTGTCTGATGAAATTTGTCCTGTTTTCTTAGTAACTAACTAACAGATGTTTTTTATATCTTGAAGGTTTTGAAAGAAGTCACAGAGAATGTCACTGATGTGATAATCTATTCAGATGGTTCATGGAAGGCAATAATTGAAAGTGATGGTGAGCATCATAATCATCCCAATAATAATAGTAACAAACAGATGCCAGATACAAGCCCCGAATTCGCAGAGGGTGAAATGGGGCCGCCATATTGTAACCCACACATAGATATTTTGGATCTCACTGCATTGGACAATAATGAAAAGGGAACAGAGGACGAAATTGTTGACCAAAAAGAATCACAAACCAAATACCAAGGTCAACCTTGCACAAACTACTATCCATTCAACGCAGTCGGGGAGGATTTCTGGTCAACAACTTTTCTCTCCACATTTGGATTGGGCAGTGCACCAAATCAGCAGACCACTAATAGTATTTCAGCCTCTATGATGCATGGTGGAGTTGGAGGGCCTTCTCCCAGAAATACCTTGCCCTTACACTGGCCCCAATCTGGTAATTCACCAAATTCTCCGTTTAGCTATGGAATGCACCAGCAGTATCCCACAATCCCTTATAATGTGAATACTCTCCATGAGTTGCAGCAGCTGCACCGTTTATTCCCTTCTTCTGCTCACCCCACTCAACAATTAAACTCAAGTCAGAGGACACCCTATTTGACTACTCAATCACAACGGGCCCCTGCTCGATCATATGCTTCAAGTGGGATTGGTCGGTCAAATGGTGCTTTCCAGCACAGCATGCATGCTCCTCGTCCTCTAGTGAACCCAACACGAGGTGATCAAAGCAGGAATATAGTGGGCCGCGCACCTGTGGATTCGACAGGCTGGAGGCCTGCGAGCCGTATGCGTGGTAGCCTATCGGGGCAAGCTTATGATGATGCACTTGGGCAGTACCTCATACATCATCCGCCGCGAGCTCAATCCAACACACCAGCTAATGTCTCGCCCCAATTACAAGCCCTCATTGCTAACAGAGTTGGTCATGCATCTGCTTCCTTGGTAAACCACTCATCTACAGGATGAAACCGTATAGAATGTTACCATTTTTGCTCCTTTATTTATAAATATCACACGTCAAAAGAAAGGAACATATCGTCTATAGTTTTAGAGTTATGTGCTTAGCCGAAGCCAAACGAAATCCACTGAAGTATTTGAACACACGTATGTTTGGTCTTATTTATTTAGTTTGTAATGATCAATATTTTGCAATATCAATATCAAGCGTACAATTCCACTTATCTTTATTTGCGTGTATTTTCACTGGTCCCAAATTTAGGTGATGGGAGCAAAAGATATTCCTCATATTTTGGGTTGCTGAGATAATATACTGAAGAGTCCTGCAAATGCTCTTGCACCTCAATTATACGATAGTATATACTTCTATTTGCAAGTCCTAAACAAGACACTGTTGCATCTCATTCTCTTACTCTTATAGTTCTATGTATAACAGAGAGTATCAGTCTGTATAATGAAATTCATTAACAATGATTAATAATGATATATTACCCTTTCAGGTTGGAGGATGAAACTGATAAGTGCCCATCTTTAGTTACCAAAAGATGAAGTTTTTTCTGCCCAAAAACTGTATTATGTTTGCTCTCTAAACATGGGTCAAAACATGACTTGCAAAATGATTACCCCATGGACACACTAAAAAGTGGCTATCTTCAAGCTGTAGCTCTATCACATTGCAAGAAAAAATATGCATGCGAGTTGATTAATTGAGTAATCAACCAACGGACTCCATGCAATCCCTTCAATCCTAGGACTCTTTGTTTTGCCTATACTGATGACACAATCACCATATATTGCTTCTTTGTTTTCCAAGACATAGTCCAGACAAGCTCGAGATCTACGTTGGCAACACGTTAGGGGAGACATTACTCAATTTGTGTCACCACCCACAAAATTGCAATTCACCTTCTCATTTTAATAAAACACTTGTGCAGAATTGCTCTTCAAACATTGAACCACCTTTAACACAATATCCAACTAGTATTTGAGTTGACACCAGTAAATCTTGGTTGAGACTCCTTGCCAACTTAATACTCTAAAACATTCGACTGTCACATGCATCATATGAAAACATTCATTCTAGAGTTGTATTGTTCTTATGGAGAACAAGTTCAACAAAATGTAGTTTTCTCAATAAAGAAGATGGTGTAAATTGAAGCTTACGACAGTGTTGTATTTGTGTAAATTTGTTTGAACTAGAGTTGCTGTTCAGTAATCTCCCCCAAAACTATAGGACTTTTGCAGCTCCTTTGCCCACACCATCACACACTCCGTAGTATTATGGAGTGGCATGCAGGGGCGTAGCTAGGGGGACATACTAGCTAGGTCCTGCTCCGCTTCAAATTTTAGAAATGCTTCTATTCGTAGTGTTAAGAACAATATAAAAAATATTTTGAAAAATTCTTTGTACGGCCCGTCATGGGCAACATGCAGATGTCTTCCAGCATTTTCCTATTCTCCCTATAAATAGGAGTGTTCTTGTTTGCTCAAATCTATTAAACCATACTAATTAATCCATAAAAATCATGCTCTCAAATAGATGCCTCTGTAACTTTATCACAAGATAATTACTTGAAGATAATGCCAATACTGTATGAATACAAGGAGAAAACGAAAGAAAGTAGGAAGATAAGAGGTTGAACAATGTGATAACGAAATGGTCAAATGCTCAAAGCCTCAGATAACAAAAGAAGGGGAAAACAGAAAAGAACTTAGTGGGTAAGTAATGAAGTGAAATTAGCACGTTTAGCCTTTTCTAGCAAAGCAGTTGAGCTGATTCCATTAGGTAAAAAATAGTTGGCCTTTATCTCCGAGTAATGAATTAATTTAATAATAAGTTAATAACTTTGTAACATACAATCCATATCGTTTACGGTAGAATCAGTTCCAGTTCCGAAACCAGATCAATTCTCAAATAGTTGGTTTTATGACTGGACATGATTCTTTACAGAAGATATTGGATGATGCCAACTTTCAAATTTCACTCATATCTGTTTAGTTTTGATTCAATTTCTCTCATTCAATTTGAACTTTGCCCCTAAGATAACATATTATACGCATTTTTAATATTAAAAATGACTTTAGAAATTTCTCTCTCATGATAAATTTTGGTCTTGTACAAGAGTAAGACTGTGTACATCTAACCCCCTTACCCTATTGTAGATGGAAGACTTACATTAAATGATGTTTAGGTAATATTATTTGCGTTAATTTTACATAAATCCTTGCATTATACATAATTTCTTTACTTTATTTCTCGAAACTCAAACTTTATAAAGCAACATTTCTTTGTGGATCGATCTAATATTTTTTACAACAATCAAAACTTGTATACTTGCAAGTTAAGTTCGGTCTCCTACATCGAACTGAACTAGCCAGAGTGGGGAAAACCGTGTTACGTTGATTGGATAAGTGATAGGGGGAATAATCGATTTATATGTAAACGGGTAATGGGGTGGCTATAGTTTTATACTGAACCACCTTCGGAATTGTTACCCTCCGTAACCACATGTTTGTTTCGGATAAAGTTACTTGCATTATTACTTGACCAGTTGACCCGCACAATTAACTTAAATATTAGATAGTATATTTTAATAGATTATGTATTTTATTATTTAATATATTAAGGGTTCATTTGGGAGTTTGAAGGGAATATGTATGGAAGGTTTTGAAGGTTAGTCATGAGAAGGGAAGGATAGGGAAAGTGTTGAAAACCGTTCTTCTTGTTTCTTCTTGTTTGAGAGTAACAAGTTTGAAAAGATAAAGGAGAACTACCAAATAAGCTCTCGAACTTTCATAAAAAGTGCAAATAAGCCCTTTTATTGGAGACTCTGTCCAGCCGTCACCATTTGGGGAGGTTTCAGGTGGAATTTTTTGATGAACTTTTTTGAGTATCTTCTTCATTAAGTCTAGTTTATTCATACCAAATTTCAGCTAAAAATTCAATCGCGAAGGTAGTCAAATGAATTTTTGAAGATAACTGCGCAGTTAGAAAGCGTAATATATTTCAGAAAATCATTTGACTGCCTTCTCGATTGCATTTTTAGCTGAAATTTGGTATAGGTAAACTAGACTTAATGAAGAAGATGCTCAAAAAATTTTATCAAAAAATTCCACCGGAAACCACCCCAAATGGCGACAGCGGGACAAAGCCTCCTGTAAAAGGGCTTATTTGCAGTTTTTATGAAAGTTCAAGGGCTTATTTGATAGTTCTCCCAAAAGATTAAGATTTTGAATGAATTATAATTAAAATCACTTCACATATATGATGAATTCAAATAATTGAGTTTATATTCATTTAAAATTAAGTTAAAGTTGTCATTTAATTAGTTGTCCTTCAAAATCCCTCAATTTGAAGGAACTTGAAAATTAAGCATTTGAAAAGTTTTGGAAGGTTAAAAAGCCTTCCAAAACCACCCCTCCATATATTTTAACTCCTAAACATGAAAGGGGGTCATAAACCCTTATCAACGGTACCCTTCCTTCAAAAACTCAACTCTCAAACACACTAAATATATTAGAGTACGATGCTCCTATTTGGCTTATTGACTGTTCTTCGCAGTCCCAGCGGCCCTCCAAAGTTCACTATTTTAACTTTCAAATTTTTAGTATCCTTGAGCAGCGTTCACCTATCTTCTTCATTGAATCTCCTCTATTTGACTAACAAATAATTGTGATTTTGATTTTCCTATTTATGAGAATGAAGAAACTAATGAACTAGATTTTAGAATTCAAGAAATCTAACTATGATACAGCTTGGAGAATGTGGACGGACAGTGCTCTGTTTTTTAGTCACAATTTTGTTTCATAAGGGTTTGTTTAATTAATTTATATTTTAAAGTAAATAGGGAGAACTATCGAATAAGCCCTCGATCTTTCATAAAAAATGCAAATAAGTTCTTTTTCAGGAAGCTTTGTCCGGTTGTCGTCATTTGGGGCAGTTTCTGGTGGAACTTTTTGATGAAATTATTTGAGCATCTTCTTCATTAAGTCTAGTTTCCACATACCAAATTTCAGCTAAAAATGCAATCAAGAAGGCAGTCAAATGATTTTCTGAAATATAATGCGCTGTCTAACTGCGCATTTATCTTAAAGAATTGATTTGACTGCCTTCCGGATTGAATTTTTAGCTGAAATTTTGTATGAGTAAACTAGACTTAATGAAGAAAATGCTCAAATAATTTCATCAAACGATTCCACCGGAAACCACCCAAATGGTGACAGCCGGACAAAGGCTCTTGAAAAAGGGCTTATTTGCACTTTTTATGAAAGTTCGAAGGCTTAAATAAAAAACCTCGTAGATTAAAGGACCATTCAAAATGTAAATTGAATGTTAGCATCACCATTAGTATTTAGTAGTGCTAAGTAGAGCTATAGATCTTTTTTTTAGAACGTTAGGAGTTTTACCCCTTTCCCAACAGAGAACAATAGAGTAAAGTACCTGATGAGAGTGAACAAGAAGGATTCAGATTCTCTGCCTTATTTCCAAGCAAGGCACCCTGCCCGGCCTTTGGGAGTCATCCGATCAATACTTCAAAAGTTCAAATGCGAGAGTTTTCGAGGTCCGCATCTCGAGGCGTGACTTTCCCATCGGACGGTCTCCCTGCCGCAAGGCACTCTGCCGTGCCGTAGAGGATCCCAATCCAAACAAGAAGGCCTGCAATAGTTGCACTAAACGCGGCTATAACATCTTCCGCTCCAAAAAAACAAGCAACGTACCCGTAATTAAAAGTACTCATCATTCTCTTTCTTTACTTTGTTAGTGAGAAAAAGTATAATGGGTAGAAGGTAATTTGGTCATGCGTGACACTTGGTGATGATGATGAAGATAAATTTTGATCTTGCGAAATATCCCTATGATCACATGAACAATGATCATACCGTTAGATAATACTACGTACAAAATGGAATAAATATTAAACTATACCCGTATTTGAGTGAATGTGAGCTTCCAATATTTGTTATTTGTAGAACTAGACTCCTTGTGTATAGATAAGGAACCAAAGGCGATACGATAAAGATTTAAGTGTCAGAAAAACACAACTAAACAGAAAATGAGAAATAACAATACAAATACGGAATACATAAAATGAAATGCTAAGCATACTCAAATTGACTGATTGAGCTGACTGTTCAAGCTTATGAAGTTCTGATTAAAATGACTGAATTGGAATATTCTGCCAATTTATGATATATAGTATGTAAAATATAGTTTATTAAAAAAGTAAAGAAAAAATTATATATAAAGTAGTTAAAATGACCATCTACAATCACTTCAGTCAATTCAATGAAAAGTAACTTCAATTTTACTTATTTTTATTATCACACAATTCGATGCACAAAATCAAAAGTTACATGTTTGATGAAAAAGTTCGTTCATAAGTAATGAGCTTACATACATGATAAGTTGATCACCAAACGAGTTGTAAAGATTAAAAAATTAAAGATTAAATTAAATTAATAAAATACTCTGTTTTGGCGATCGAGCATACAAATTCGTCCAACGCCCATCACCTACTTCTACTTGAACATATATAAATATATATCCATGCAGTGTCCTCCAAACGCGAATTGACAATCCCCCATGGAAGGAGATGAGTTACCGCCTTTGGGCAGCCAGCTGCCGCAGCTCCTCCCATTCATTCCGCCGTCTTTGCAACCGGTGATGACGACGAACCCTGCTCATGAGTTGATCGGGTCGGATATGGATTGGGCAGTGCAGCTGCTTTTGGGTTGGGTGGATCCGAACCAGCTGGCGCTGATATGTAAGGATCATACCTCTAGTGAAAACGGAAATAATAATAATAATAACAATAATGAAGGGAAGAAGGTGCAAGCAGCCACGGGTTATAATAAGAGTAAGAGGAAGTATCCGGCCAGAGTTGCGTTTCATACAAGGAGCACTGAGGATATTCTTGATGATGGCTATAAATGGAGAAAATATGGGCAAAAGATTGTGAAAAACACTACCCATCCCAGGTATTTCTAAAATCTCATCTCTAATACCTAATCTTTATCACTACAAATATGGTACATTGTACTATATTTATGTTGATTTTCTCTCTAAAATCAATATATCATCACTACAAATATGTTGATTTTCTCTTTAAAATTATTTTATGTTTTCCATCCCTCCAATTTATGTTGATTTTCTTTTTAATCCATCACCGATGATGACAACCTCCATTTGACAACAAAACAAGTTTGTATATTTCAAAATAAGATTATCATGTTTTTATTCTCTAAATAGGAGTAATTACTGTCATGTTTTGACAATATCAGACTTAAAACATGGCAATATTTTCCAAGCATGACATTAATCACTTCTATTTAGGGAATACAAACATGACAATCCTATTTTGGAATTCTGAAACGTTTTTACTCCTATTTCAGGAATTTTCCTAAAAAAAAAAATCTATTTTGTAGGGACCTAAACAAAGTGTGTATTTGGAGGGACTAAAAACATGTTTTAAGTCTTATACTATAGACATTATAAATATATACAGAGTAATTTTTTTTGAGAATATACACGGAGTAATTATAAATCACAATTGTGAACGTTAAGATAACCATTAATGAAGAGCGTGAAAGCAAAGAGCTTTTTGCTTAGGATGTTTTCTTTTGGACTTAAAATTGTTGGTCTGGTCTGGTCTAATCTGATCTTATATGGTCTATTTAAGTCTGATCTGGTTTGGTCTGGTAAATGTCTGGTCTCTGTGTATTTTATAACTGTCTAAGTCTGGTCCGGTCTATTTAAGTTTGGTCTGATTTGGTCTGGGCTGAAAACAGTTCAAAAGAAAACATCCTTACATACTCCCTCTGTTTATTTAACCCTCTATTTTATAGAATTTATCAAATTTTCTTATTTAGTTGTAAAAAAGTATTTTTCACTTTCATTTAAAGTAATAAATATGTAATCAAAGTTATTTTTTTCTCATGTGCACAAATTTCAATCATAACATTTTTATTATTATTATTCTAAATGTAAGTCAATTTGGTAAGACAGAGAGAGTATAACTTAGACACAAAATATTAAGGAGTAATATGTACTAAAGTTACTATAACTATATTTTCACAATCACTATAGTATATAAAGAATATGACCATGATGACTAAAGTTACTATTATAATCACTTAAATGTAAAATTCACATTTTATTAACTATATTTATTTTGGTAATATATTTGTTATTATTTCAAGGTAAATTCTCACTATATACACGTTAGGATCATCAACAGGTTGGGTTATATCAAATCGGTCGAAAACTAATGGATATGAATTGGATCGTGCTGATCTCAATATAAAATAATTATTAATGGATCGAGACGGTTAGGTTTTTCAATAAATTTATAACTCTAGCCCGTCTATATGATTGACTAAGGTGTCTGATCAGTCTGGCCCACATGACAAAAATTGTGCAAGGCCTAGATGGGCTTACAAGATAATGAGTGAAAAAGAATTCATTATTCCTCAAAATATAATAATAAAATAAAGTTCAAACTTATCTGATCTATGGCTTATTAGTCTTTGTCAAAGTACACTCTTAAATTGAAGATGCTCAATATCCATTTATTGTTTTAATTTAAACTTCTCAAGTATTGTAACAAACAGTTATCACCCAACAATTATTAAGAACTTCAAGAACTTTATTGACTTTCATATTAGTCATCCATCTACTTTGGTCTTGATGCAATAATATGCATAAGATATTCTCTTTCTTGTATTGTAGATCAAGAGTACTAGTGTCCAAACTAATTTCACTTTTAAATGAACTAGGATGCAACCTAGCTGTTTTCTCAATAACAATATATATGTGCTTCTATTATTTTTAATGTATAATTAATAAGTAGTGCAAAATGAGCTTTTAGACTAGGCTTAGTTGAGATTAATAGTTCGGGCTAGAATGGATCATGTTGAGCCTGGCAAATGGGCCAGGTCGGGTTTCAAATACTCGACACATGTCCACTCTTTCAAATAGTGGACTGGGTTGGCCCATTACCCATATGGATCAGGCTAGATTTTTTAGCAAAGTGAGATGGGTAGGCTGCCCCACGGGCCCTGAGCTCATGGGCTAAATAATGATCCCTATATAGTAATAAATTATACTCCTCCCGTTTCACTTTATTTGTTTCGATTTCTTTTCAGATTGTATCAAATTAATTGTCACGTTCCATTTTTAGAAAGAAATCTACATAACAACTATATTACACATTAATAAAGTATGCAATATTGATATAGTATCAAAAACCTCGTACTTTTTAGTTTTTATAAAGTGAAAAGTGAACCCATAACATTATTTTAAATTTCCTGAAAAACTTATTGTATAAATAAAATGATTCGGAGGGAGTATATACATTCTTTGTGAACCTAAAACTAGTAGTACATACCTAGATATCCTAAATATGAATGAGTTGTGTTAGAGGTACATACACTCTTAGAAAATGTCTTACAAGAGAGGCACATGTCATCAACATATTATTTAACACATCACATCACTTTTACATCAAAGGTGATTATAATGGAAGCATCACACATCACTTGTTTGTAAGTATTTTTATAAATTTGTTTGCATTTATAGCATTTTCTAGAATGAAATGCTTTGTATGTTTATATATTTTCCTATCTATCTCTACAAAATATTAATAGTCTACGTCAGACTTGCACAAAAATAGGTTTAGGCTTTTCACTATTTTTTACATACGTGTGGATGGATTGACCCGACTCACAAGAAAAAGAGTCACCTAAAATGTCCATAAGTTAAGTCATACTACGTATATTGCATAGCTGTTATTTTTTTTCCCTGAAGCTAAGGAAGGTTTGTAGATAAGACATGTATATGTTAAAAGACTGAACTTTTTCAGAATTGTCTTAAATCATATCATGATATGAATGAAAATGGTGATATCTTGTATGAAAGTGAATGTATATGTTGGTCAGGAGTTATTATAGGTGCACAAATCACACATGCAACGTGAAGAAACAGATCCAACGACTGTCAAAGGATAGGAGCATCGTGGTTACTACTTATGAGGGGATCCATAATCATCCTTGTGAGCAAATTATGCACAATTTGACTCCTCTTCTCAAACAACTTCACTTGCTTTCCGCCCAACAGCTTCTCATCCATCCTCACCTAGCTAGCTAACATATTTTACATTATGTGCCTTAATTACTTAATTAATTAATTTGGGACACAATTCCCAAACTGTCTGCAAACATTGTATATATAAGCAATCGTAGACGTAAATGTACAAATGATATCAAGTGATCCATAATTATTGGTAGTGGTACAATTTGGTACCTCAATTATTGCATGAAGTAAATGTGTATCTTAAGTACATTTGATTGTTTGAAAATAGTACCTTTAAAATTCTGATCAAAACAATCTTATTTGATAACCTAAACTTCATGTGAGTTTGAGAAAAAATATGTATAATCAATTGTTTGACAAAGTTGATGAGGTCCAATTATAATAGAATTAATTCCATTTTAGGTCCACCGAGTTTTGTGTCATTTCCATATTTAGTCCTCATCTTTTACTTTATCCAGTTTTGGTACCTGACTATTGTTTTCTTGATCATTTGTGGTCCATTTCTGAGCATTTTTACTATCGGAAAAGGACTATATATGTTCAAGAAAATACTAGTCAGGTACAAAAAATGGATAACATGAAAGATGATGACGAATTGTGGAATTGGTGCAAAACTCGAAGGACCATAAGTGGAATTTCTTCAATTATAATATGTTGCAATAACTAAATTAGTTACATATTATAATATGTTGCAATTACTAAATTAGCAACATGTTTGATTTAGATTTGAATCAGCTAGTCTGGTGGATATATTAACTTGCTAATCGTGATATGAAATTTCAAACAATCAATTGCATGTAATTTTTTAAGAAAAGTACGTGGAGCACAAACAGTTATATTAAACAACTTGGGCCGAATTTTAAGTGATACCATATATTATATTGAAACATTTCAATATATTTATGGCAACAACTTACTTTTTAATTACGACACCATTTATTTTAATGTCCCCTTATAAATATACTAGTTTTGTACTCACTATGTGTGCTTGGTGCTCAATGAGCTTGCTCATTGATTTATTTGATATGTTAATGGTAATAACAATTGATTAAATAAAATTAAAATAATCGTTGTTAAAGATTTGGTGATTTACTAAATGACTTTTTTGTCAAATTGCAATGGCCATTCGTAGATTATATGCAATTTTTTCATGCATGTGGTGTCCAACTGTAATCACACGAGAAAGCACAGACACATGAAGGTTTTAAAATTTTAGAACGCGTTTGGTAATAAATATATTGACTGAAGTTGCTGAAACCATTGATTTTTTAAAATTATACCGGAAAAGGTTGAATTGGTTGAATATGCTAAATTACAAAAAAAAACTCATTAATAAAATAAGAAAAAAATATGTACCCTTTTTATTGAGAATGGAGATTCCCAATACATATCTCCACCCTACTATGAGTCTCCTCATTTTGGACCTTGTTGTTAGCCACAATACTTTTTGTGAGAACTTTCGTCATCTACTCTATCAATTGTTGTTCGACCTCTTGCGAAGACCTAGTCAGGGGGTTAAAGGTGGTACCTTAATTCATCTTTCCTAGATTTGTTTTGATTCTATTTTTGTGGGTGGTTGTTTGAGTAGTTTCCTCCATGTTGATTCAAGCCTCCATATATATATGAGTTCATGTAATTCACATCATCAAAAAGTTGAGATGAATCATCTCATGCTTGTGCATCGCTCTTCACTTAGGTGACTTGATGTGCTCCTCCCATTATTGGTTTTAGAGTTGTTTGAATAGAAGTTTGTAACAACGGACCTTTTTCGCTCATTTAGTGTTGACATCATCTTTGTTCATCGGGTGTTTTTAAGGATATACTTGCACATTTTCTCGATTTCAAAATCAAGAGTTTCAAGATTGTTAGATCATTGACTTCTGAAGAACATGCAAAAACAACAATTTTCTGCAAAATTATACTAAAAACAAGAACAAGTGAAAAACAAAATAATATTTGAGCTCTTTGAACATATATAATAAAAACAAGTGTTCTCCCCCGATAACGATGCCAAAATTTGATCAGGCTTATCTTGCAAGTATACAAGTGGCGATTATAGTAATAAATATTGGTAAAATATCAGGTCAATCCACAAAGAAACACCGTTTTGTAATGTTCAATAGAACAACTCAAAAGATAAATAAGTATCGTAAATTATGAACTTTTTTGTGATTATATGAATATATGATAAAATGATCAAGGCACCAAGATTCACCTAAACTTTAGCTAGAGTTTAACATAACTTCTTTGTCGATTCATTTGAGTACGATATCACTATTATATTCCCAACTCGGGTTAAGGCAACGAAAGTGTGATTTTTCCTGAGTGTGATCGACTCGCGTTGTGACTCGCATTCATCTAGAGAAAACTCCGTTGAATATTAGGATGCCACACACATAGCATATAAGATCGAGTATATTTCTATCCTCAATACTTTATATGATTATTCTTTAGAGATTGATCTATATGCAACTCTTATTGATCATATAAACCTCTAGATGTTATGCAACATAGTTGTATAGATTTTGTTTTAAGGAGAATAAAACGTAAATTACACTTCTAGTGTCCAATTGCTATTTCAACGTTAGTTATTGCATATGAAATATATAGATTATACTCTTACGTTGCATAACATGAATATCTAATTAAGTTTAAGAAGAATAAATCATAATGTATTGACTTAGAACAAATATAAAAAACTAACGGGCATAGAGGTTCAACCTGAGCCTTGTCTTAAGGACTTAACCTCTAACACTCATTGATGCAGGTTTTCTTGCACTAAAAATATGTAGCAGTATAGGGAATAAGTACGAGTATCATCTCCACAGGGACGGAAAAAGAGAATCAAGAATTAAATAAATTCAGCGATTAAAAAAAGTGATGTGCAAGATTGGATTTTGGAAATTAAACTGATGCGAAAAAGAAAATAAATAGCTTGCACATGATAATGAAGAGGACTTCATCAGCGGAGGCAGTGACACTCGGGCAGTTGTCTGGTCAACAACTATTACATAACCAGTTGGGGTATGCGAGGTGATATCCTGGGCTAAAGAGCAAGGTTGGTCTCATGTTGAGAAATGGAAATAGATGTACTCCTTGTTACCTCCAGACTCTTGGAAAGCTGTGGGAATTCTTATTTGGATATCATTTTCGAAGATATAAGACATCTACTTCAATCTGAAGCTAGCTTTATTGTCAAACATTGTAGAAATCTATGAATCGGGCAGCCCATACACTTGCTAAGGCAGACGTTTCTAATGCGGGTGGTGGGATAGTTTTTAATTCTTTAACGTATAACATTTGTAGCCATGTGGTGAACGATTTATATGGTACTGAAGGGAGTATTTAATAACATCGATATCCCTCGTTTTAGTTTGTCACTTAAAATTACTTAAAGTAAGTATAAGTTGGTGTTAAAAAAACACTCATTTTATCTTTTTCCACACAAAAGAGTTCCTAAATATATACATTCTCAACGAAGATCCACGCATCCTATCCAATCGAGTTCCCTGCTCCAACAATCAAATACGGAGTATCGAGTACATGAATCACACCATACATGAAATTTGTATTACTACAGTGACTTTTGATTCTCATTGGCAAGAGACGGAGGCAATAACGAAAATATATGATGGGAACAAAATGATGGCGGACATCATGGAGAAAAGACAGGCTAAAACGACAATGCGTATTTTATTTTACAAAAATGCTAGGCGCACACCATTTAAATAGCTTCCTTTTCTCTTCCTTCTGTTTTCTTCTGTTCTTTTCTGCGCCCCATTTTTTACCCAGACCCCTTTCCCCTTTCTTTCTTTTGTCTTCAAGAGCCCTCCATTCATTCATGTAGGTCTCAATCCCCCCGTATAAAATTATGAGCAGCCACATCAACAACGATCTTTACTCATCTCTGGAAGAGCATTCACTCGTCTTCATCCACTAGCCTTCAGAGTCAAAACCCTATCCCCACAACACTGTGCTCTCGGATAGCAATTTGAAGACCATCTCTAGCATTAACGACATTGTTACAGCTCGAATCGAAGCACACAAAAACGCTAAAGGTGGCCAACTTCGAATTCCAATTGGCATAAAAATTATGAGCAGCCATAATTTATGAGGTAATAGTTTATTCCTTATTTATGTGCATTTGGGATTATTTTAGTTTTGTTTATCGATTTTATGTATAATCTGTGTTATAATGTTGAATAATTGATTATATTGTTATAGATTTGTGAGGTTTATTATTAAAATTTTAGTTTAAGTATTCTATTTCATTTTATGCCCGTAAGATGTTTGTTGAAATGATTCAATGATTTTTTTATTTATATCCATGATTTTTTGTCCATTTTCCTAATTCGTTAATTTATTTGACTGTTTCATTTTGATTATTATGAATTCTTTATGTTAATATCGAGATATTAGTCTTTAGATTTTATTAAACATTGTTCATACAAGTATTGTGGTTATGCTCACTTGTGTTCCGATCTGGCTTGTGGCCTTGTTGGCCTATCTGCTGGAATGGCCATTGGAATTGTTGGAGATGCCGGTGTCATGGCTAATGTACAACAACCTAAGCTATTTGTTGGGATGATCCTTGTTCTTATTTTTGTTGAAGCTTTGACACTTTATGGCCCCATTGTTGGCATTGTCTTGTCTTATAGAGCTAGCCAGTCCAGAGCAGATTAAAAAACAAAAAAGTGGGTAACAACAACGAACTACATTACTGTAAGTTGTGTGTTACACTTAGGAAGAAAAGAAAGACATCGTTTTCTTATAAGGTCAAAAACTTTAATTGAATGATGATTTTGAATATGACTTGTTAGTTATAATTGCTCCTAGCTTATACAGAGTATAAAATTAGTTTCACTTTGCTTGATGTAATTTATTCTTTATAAAATGTGTATTGACCCTTGACTAGTGATAATCAGCAATTAATAAATGGATGAATGAATACAGTTGGACAATTTGATTGGATGAATAGAGTTGGACCATTTGATTGACTTTCATACATCATGAATATTAGCGGGAGCCTAAACCACATTCTCAACTACATTTTCTTGACTGCTAAAGGACGTCATTTATATTCAATATATGTTTTTTGTTCAACTAATGTTTATACTTTGCTATGAACTTTGAATGGCAGTGATGCTTTCACAAACAAGGTCCCACTTGAGGATATGTTGATACTATATGATTTATCAAACGGTCAATCCAAGAGCTTGAACA